GAGAGTGGAGAGTGGAGAGTGGAGAGTGGAGAGTGGAGAGTGGTGAGTGGTGAGTGGAGAGGGAGAGTGGAGAGTGGAGAGTGGAGAGTGGAGAGTGGTGAGTGGTGAGTGGTGTGTAGAGTAGAGAGTGGAGAGTGCAAAGTGCAGAGTGTAGGGTGCAGAGTGCAGAGTGCAAAGTGCAGAGTGCAGAGTGCAGAGCGCAGAGCGCAGAGGGGAGAGTGGAGAGTGGAGAGTGCAGAGGGGAGAGTGGTGTGTGGATAGTGGAGAGTGCAGAGTGCAGAGTGGAGAGTGGAGAGTGGAGAGTGGAGAATGCAGAGTGCAGAGTGGAGAGTGGAGAGTGGAGAGTGGAGAGTGCAGAGTGCAGAGTGGAGAGTGGAGAGTGGAGAGTGAAGAGTGGAGAGTGGAGAGTGGAGAGTGGAGAGTGGAGAGTGGAGAGTGGAGAGTGAAGAGTGGAGAGTGGTGAGTGGAGAGTGTAGAGTGTTAAATTGAATTGATTTGAGATATTTGTGAGATTGTGAGATTAATCGAAGTAGTTTAAGTAAGAGAACGTGGATACCTCACGACAGCCTACATACGTACCGATAAACAGTTATTTTTCACTAGTGGTATGAAAATAAAGACCTGCTTATACTTAGTTTTGAACAACTACCTTTGTCAGACATCCATCGATCCTAACTTTTATTGACATGGAGTTTAGCAGATGTTGTTGTGAGATTTGACAGTCTATTCAGTTTTGGTAAAGAAGCTACAAGAAGAATTTTCTAATGACTCACATTCCATCAAAGATATTTGTGAAATCTTTACATTGGGGTAATCAAAGTAGTTTAGATAAGAGAATGTGGATACCTCATGCACGACAGCGTGCATGGCTTAGTGATCGAGAATGCGTGGTCAATCTGGAAACTTCTCTGGCTCTAATATCAGAAGACCGGTTGAAATTAACTGAGCAGCAAGTATCCCCATTCTCATTTCAAGGTTACCCTAGCAACAACTAAACATAAAACATAGGGAGGGCACATAGACTAATATATAGTTGGTGACTCGGGCTACGAACTGGATCAATGCGTAATGAATTCGAGTTTTCATAGATGATATTTACCTAGCTAGCTAGTGGACAAGTAAACGCAGCCAAAAAAATGACTAGAAAGCCGAGAGAATAGTCGAGGCAGAGAAGGCTTGTTCTAATATTACGTTTGGCATTTAATACTGCATTAGGCTACTTCTGTAATAGTTAGCTCTGTCAATATCAGAACGCGTCTGAGACATACTAAACAAGCATTAGTAAAGCTGGGTAACACTGAAAAGCTGTTGATTTCTAAAGGCAGGAATTCATTTGGGCTATGTTTGCCGACAGGTGCAACACTTAGCTATCATTCCCACTTGCAGTTGATGAAGGTAAATTAACCGCCGCAACCAATTTGCGAGGCTGACGTTTCGATCGAGTGTTAGCCCTTCGTCAGAGCGAAGCATTGTGTTACTAATAAGTCTCAAGCAGGATTGATGAAAATTTAAGTCACTGCAACGTCGCGTGTAAACACCGTTCATGACAACAATATCTTTCCCTTAATGATATGACCAAATACCATAATTAGCCTTGGAATAAGTAGTTAAATTAGTGTGACTTGTTGAACTGGGCACTTGGAAAAGAATTCCTATCAGAACGTTACTTAACGACGTTCGCGCGAAAATGTTCCAGTCGATAGATTTTTTTTAAATTTTTACTTCAGTCACGAGTTACTTGTGTCCGAAATGCAGAAAAAAAAAAGGAGGGGTCACAGACTTCGTTTCAGAGATAAAGCCTGTGGAAAACTACTCTGAATTTAAAAAATTGGCGCACGTAGTTCAGCATGGTCTACAGGGGTTTATAGTTAAACATATCGAAGGTGAGTCAACGGAGGCAAACGATCTTAGTCATATTTTGGAGCAGTGAGTCTGTTGCGTAAATAATTCCACGTGTTGCCAACGTTTTCACAAAACTTAACCCTTCAAGAGACATTTGAAACCACCGCACAGATAAACGAAGAGCTAAAAAGAACAGAATTCGATGGTGCATTTTGCAAAAAAATTCACACTTCTAATCGATAGATTTTCATTTTTTCTTTGAACGTAGAAAATCGGTAGAGAAAATGATCCATCATAAGAAAAATAGGGGTCACCGAACGTCCAAGATCGTTGAATCCGGGCAAAGCCATAGCAATGGTCATCTGCCCTATCATTGTTCCTTTTATTACTTCGCGTGCACGTGACGTGTGAATTTGCGTGCGCAGTAAGGATGCGCAGAACAATTAGCGCGAACGTCCTTAGCAACAAAGGATAGCGATCTTTTTCTCAAATAAACCAGTAACTGAAGAATACGAATTACTGAACGATTTTCCGGTTCTGTGGAGATCGATAGCCTGTCGATAGAGATTATCGAAAGAGAATGGAAACTTAACGAGGAAGAGTTAACTAAAGTGAAAGCAGAGAAAACAGCACAATAACAACCACTCAATCAAATCAGTTTTAATGAAAAGCTTGCATCAAATCATATGCTTGATATTAAATATAATTTTTGCACACCAGTTACTTCAATAATTTCCTTTTTACAGTGAATATGCATGACCTTTCACATAATGAAATGAAATAATGCGACATACTTTACAAAACGTCACTGTTTCTATAACCTGTTAAGGCAACACTCGTGAAAAGTGAAACGAATTCACAACTATAATAAATTGAACAAATATGCTGACAAGAATGCGGAGTGATGGATCAGTGTTACACCACGAGACGGCATCGGCGCTTATTCAGCACAGCGGGCAATAACACAGCCCCAAAATGCCTTGCACACTTAGTTCAACATTTCATTGTAACAATACATACTTATATACCATATTGGAACTTTATATTGGTAAATTATTATTGGCCAATTTTATCGTGTCCCTTGTGTAAAGTTTCGTCACAGTCCTGCTCAGTTTCCAATGACGGCTTGTTCCCTTTCCATTACAATTTAATATCATTACCGCGAAGATCATGGAAAGTTTCCAATATATCAATTAAGGGAGCTCTCTCTGATGACATACTGCCGTACAGTAAAAAAACCCGCGTTAATGAACCTAATTTTGAAGAACCTGTTAGTCTAAGATTTCCATTTAGGTCCCCTTCACGTAAGAACCTGTTTGAGCCTGAAATTTTAAACAGGTTCTTACCTTATAACTCACTGAAAAGTTATAATTTGTAAATCAAATAACTTAAATTAGGTTTTGTATTTCTTAAATTTGTTTACATTGCAGTAATTTAGACATGATTATTGGCACAATTTATCAAAACAATTGTCGGTACCACTCTTCTACCAGCAAAAAAAATACTTTTTTCGTGAGAAAATAAGACCGTGTTTAAGAAACTAAATAGCAGGTTCTTATATGCGGGTGTTTTCTGTAGTTAATAACATCCATGTGAAGACAGTCTAAAACTTGCAATGTCAAGATTTTCAATTAAACAACTGGATCAAATTGCTGTCAAGACTAAAGATGCCTTGAACACAAAGTTATGCAGCAAGCCACATCTGTGGGTATATGCAGCATACCTGCTGGGTATAGGCTTGTTTTAATTTACTTTTTTGTTATGATATTCTACGTATTAAGCAAAATAAAATGGTCGTCGTCGTGGTTGTTTAGACCTCCGTTTCCTATTGCTTTCTAACACCATTCATAAATTTCCTAAAGGTACCTTTCTCGTTTCTCAATGAAGTAGCTTCAGTGGAAAAGACAAGGCATTTTTGAGAGGGGAACGAATTTGGAGTAATCAAATGGAACCTGAAAAGTTCCTCGTGCGACGAAAGAAATCTAGGCTAGAAAGCAAACGCCAACCAAGTGGACAACTAATGTATTGCTGATTCCCTTACCGTGCACATCAATGTTCGAGGAATTCAATTGTTCATCGTAAAAGAGAAAACGTTAGGTCCACAACAGACTACGCGTATAGAAGTCTGCAGGCTGACTAAAATAAGGAGCATTTATTCTTTAGTTTTGTCCAAAAATATTTTCAAATATTAAAATCGTTTCTACCTAGTATTTTACATACATGTATTCCAAATTTTATACAATTTGTACAAAGGTAAATCGAGTAAGGAACGCTTTAGATAAAATATGTCGCGGGTTCGTACCGTACCTAACAGAAATGACAACGACGAGGAGAGGAATGAAATGGCCAGTGTGCGCGGTGAATTAAGTCAGTCCAAATTTCTATTTCTCCCAAGCAGGTGTAGACATTGTGTTTAAAGTGATGAGAGGAATTTAGCTGCCGATACTGAGACCAAGTGAACCAGTATAAATGGAGACTGAGCCAGCAACATCATATCAACTCCATTGACAGCGCTCATCCCGATATAACGAAAAACTGTAGAGGAACAAAAACTGGAAAATACCACGACTTTACGACGAATTAAGCCGAGTCACTGCTTATAACGCAAACAGTTACGTTTCGTTCCCAAGAGTAGAATTAAGATTTACTCCGAGGAAAAAAAGAGACGATTGAGATCACTAGGCCCATGTTTCTCTTCACCTCCTCACTGAGGTGGTTCTAAAAATTCGAATGAACAACATAGTGTAACCTAATTTTCTGAAAATGGAAAAGCTCGAATACGACGAGCTCGCATCTATTGCCCATAATCTTTTGTTGTTGTTGGCCTATAAATGTTGGTTATATCGGGATTGCACTAAAATTCTGACCACTGGAGAACTGCCGACAATAAAAGATTCCTAAGAGAAGTGGTGCCCTAGTTAAATTTGCTAAAGAGAATTAGTTATGGAGTCAAAGTGTGTTTAGGCGTGATAGGATAGTTGGTCACTCAGTACATGAGAGATGAACTATAAGTCGAACTGTTTCGAAACTTGCCAATGTTACTGCGGGAAACTCTTTCTTGACTTCCACGAAATATCCTCCTTGCCCTTGATTTATTTATACTATTTTTTCCTTCTTATAATATTTGGTTGCAAAATATAGTTGCTTGAAGACAAAGACAGCGGTAAATTCCAGTAAATATAATCAAGTGATTTGCGCAGATGATAATTTGACGATTGGAAAACGTGACTTCGGCGATACTAAATACGATAACAGCGAAAACACGCATTCCTGGAATTTACTGCCACTGTCTTCAAACGTTCTAGAATTTATTCTCAAACTGGGGGTCCATTTATTCCTGGATGTAAAAAATGACACGTGCTTCCTCTGAGACAGCCTCGTTTTGAAACAAAGTGCCGACATATGGGAGCTCCTCTGCCCCGGGCCCTTCCACGCGCTCGACCGCGCGGCATTCCTCGACCTCTGCCGCGCATGTTTATATTGTCTCCCAGTTCACCCTCTTCATCTTCGTCCCCATACTCCCCTCCGTCGTCGAATTGATCTGCGAGGAAGTCGTCTCGTTGGGCCTAGGAACAGGAAAGTAAGTATGAGTGATTTCCTAACACCTACTCATTTGGTTTTTAGTTCATGTCTCTACTTAGGAGCATGTGGATAATTTCAAAGAGTCTTGTTAAGGGAAGAGCGGTTTTCAATTGAGTATCGTGATATTCACTTTGGTCAATCATGGTTCCCACAGGCATCACTTTTTAAAATTTACTCTTCCCTGATAAAGTATAATTTGAATTGATCAAGAAGTTAAACGCTAAAAGATTTTTAAAACACATACAAAAAAGCGAACGACGTTTCGGCGCTACGTTACGCCATTATCAAGTTAAAGGGGCAGTATCACGAGTGGTCTTCTAAGTTTTTGTGCAAACTATGCTAGAATGATAAAGGTGCACTCAATGATCAACAAAATAACCTTTAAACGACAAAAAGGCATTTAAATTCAATCTCGAAGAGATCAATGATTTTTAGTGATTTTCCTCCAAGTAACATTGTCAAACTTGAAAACGTCGGCCCGACGTTTTCAAGTTTTACACCACTTCTTTCCTACTCATCCGTAGCCACAACAGTTATAAACAACTTTCGTGGCCAGTACGGTGCACTTTAGCAAGGTTAGGCAACTACTAGTTAATTTACAATTTATACCAACAACTTCATTGGATTTTCAAGTAGCGCCAAATCTTGGTGAGACTGCCCCTTTAAAAAGTGAAAACGTATAAGGCGTAATACGAATCTATAAAATATGAAACAATAATTAAATTTGCGATTAAATGACATAGTGACGTGAGGTTTTTAAGCCAATCACGTAGCGTTGTAACACAATACCCAATGAAATGCGAATTAATTTGAACACTCAAATGAAAACTGCTCTACAGGTCAAAAGCTTCATTTCTTCTGTTACGATGGAAACGCAAGAGAAAAACCGCTTTACAGTAAAAAAAATCGATGGAAAAACTGAATGCAGACAAAGCTTACCATCTCTGGAAGAAGAGGTCGAGGACCTGTTGGCATACCTCTTCCAACGCCTGGCCCACCCTGCATTCGCAGTGGCATATGTCCCCTCATACGTGGACCCATCATTGGGCCCTCGGGACCTGGGAAGAGGGGTCCAATAGGAGGTCCTTGCCTAGGCCCTCCTGGACCCTGGAAATGCATAGGCATATCATGTCTTAGGTGCGGGCCCTGCACGCCCCTTGGACCCATAGGACCAGGTGGCCTGAACACATTTAGGCTCCCCATTGGATCACCAGGAGCTAGGACAAGAAGAGATGAACACAAATCATTTAAATAATATATGCGCATTTTCCAGAGTGCAGCAGGCTCGATTTCCGCCGCTCACTAGACTTCAGTCTACCTTCCTCCCCGAGAAGAATTCGGGGGAGGAATGCGTGCTCCTTTCCCGATCAGCAGCTGGTAATGGAGCCTAGTGTGCGGGTAGCAAGAGAAATAAAAGGTTGATCACAGGATTAGGATATTTGGCAAAAATCCCCCATTCAACAATAACAAATGATTAACAACATTAAAGCAATAATCTAGCTAAGAAAAACAATACAGGGTTTGTTGGTCGTTCATGCTTTTGAAGGTTAATTTACTTGAGATGAGACAGACATCGAATGGGTCTGGTCACTTTCCGTATTACTATCAAGTTGTTAGATAAAATACAACAAGGCTGAAGGAAATCATGAACAGCCTTGTTCATGGCAAATGAGGCTGAATGGAACTATAAAAACCCAACCAACGTGTGGCGACCTTTTTTAGTATGAGTTTTAATAGCAAGGTGGGAGTGCTAAGAGTTGCTAGTGGTCTGTGTTGCTTGTCAGGTGACAACAAAATGTTTTACCACTGCAGGGGAGCAAAATCCCAACTGACTTGTTAGTGCTCATTATATACAATATCAGACAGCCGATTATCTTACTGATGATGTACATGTACAGTTCCTCAGATCAAATGAAAGTTGGCATTTGAAACTGACAAATAACTCGACTCAATTGTCAATCCTCAAAAACTTTGGGTATTGAGTTTCAAGTCAAGAAAACAAAGAAACAAATAACTAATCTACTTATCCATTCTTCGCTGCTACTGTTATGTATCCAAGAAATAAACCACTTCCTCAAAAATAATTGGGTGATAGATCTCAAAACGTGAAATTCAAACCTTTAAACTTGATTCTCCATTGTTGAAAGCATCCAGGGTAGGATATCAAATTTGAGTCAAGACTGACAACTTAAATTTGACTGCTACTGCACAAACTAGCTGTTCCTTAAACTTAAGCACTTACCAGCCCCAAGCAATCCTGGTCCTTGACCCATGCCATGTCCAGGTCCAGGCCCTTGCATTCTTGGAGGGCCCATTTTATTTTGCTGTAGGGGTTCCAGAATATTTTGGAGGGCGCTGGGTAAGGAGGAACTCCCTGGCTCATTCTGAAGTGGAGGCTGAGAATTTGGTCCCATTGAGGGTGTACCAGGCTGCTGAGTGGGCTTCTGAAATAAAAAGAGCATTTCATGAATGAAAAGTTGTCTAAATAAAAAACATTCTTATACATGATCATATAAAGCAGAAGAGCACAAGTGGTCCAGTCAACTGCAAGCTAAAGTTAAACTACTTCTAAAATAATGACAAAAGTTACACCTGCTTTCAATGTTACTTGCATGGGCGACATCTTTCGACCATCTTTTGAAATGTTATGTAAATGGCTGAAAGACCGTTTAACTGTGAAACTGGCAGAAGAAATGACAAACAAATGATAATTTCTGCCCTCAACTGGCTGGAGAAGAATGTAGAATTTACATGTTTCCCTATTTACAAGACAATTCAAGCGATTTTAGTGTAGTTTATCAGTTCTTAATAGTGACTTCTGGTAGAAATGGGCTGCTGACGCTTCTAATATTCGCAAGGTGTAAACATTCAAAACAGTTGATTTATTTCACTGGGAATAACTTCTTGATACCGGTACTCCTAACCTTAGCTTGATGTTAAATAAATCCATCTTTCATCACTACAACTCAAGTTCGACCGTAAAGAAGTCTGTTGTGCTTACATTTTTGACATAGGCCCGGTTACATAGCATGCCGAGAAATGGCATGTCAACACATGTGGCCTATGCACTTAACACTGAAAGTGGGTGTAATGAATTTCAATGCCAATAAGTTTTAAATACTGAATTTAATGAATAATACCTGGTTTACTACTACCAAACCAAACCAAAATTTTCACAAACTATGAACACCTCCAATAGCCCTCTCTTCGATGCTTGGAGAGTTTTGCAGTAATGCCGTGGCCATATCATTCATTGATTGATCAATCGATCATACACACAATTTGCTGAAGATTCTTCAAAAACTGTTTTTTTTGTTAATATTTAGCAATCAAACTTGCATTTTCTCTTAAATCAAGCAACAACAACAGTTTATTTCTACTACTGTAAACAACTAAAAGAATTTACAAGATTGTAATTATAAATATATAAATAAACAGTTCAGTACATACAGTTGTGGGACACCCAATATAACTAAAAAGCTAAACTAGTTGGGTGACCGTAATTATAATAATTAAAAATGTAAGAGTCAGGAAAGAGGTACAACAAATACATTGGTACACATAAGTATTACAAACTTGGTACAAGAGTAAATATACAAAACAAAACAAAATAAATAGATATAAACCATCAAAATATCAGTAAAGATTAATAGAGACTAATGAAATGCAAAGTTAGTTCTTTTTTTTTTCTTTTTTGATTAGAAGTACAACACTTGAATCTTTCATCAAGTTCATTCCATAATTTAGGTCCATTAAATCGAATATTAAATAACAACAATATTAAATAACAACAGCAAACAACAAAAGATGATAGGACTTCAACTTCTTCTCCCAAAGTCAGCCTGGAACCTCAGCATTTTTTGCCTCTAAGGATGAGACTATCTTTTATCATTTAATAGTCTTATTTATTTTCTTTACAACTAAGGAGAAAAAAGATGAGATTATTGAATGCTGAGAAAGAAGCAAGAAAGACGGCCCTTTTATTAAGTAACAATACTAACAATATTGCTCTGATCTCTTACCAAGAGTTTATCCAGCAGAGTCTGAACAGTATAAGCTGGCCTGTCAGCAGTCCCCTGGGGAGCCGACCCAGCTGTAATAAAGGTAGAAAAAAAGATTACGTGGTTTAATAAATCTTATACATATTCTGTTTGGTCTGCAAGTAGACTGCTAAAAACACACCTGTATTAGATGTTGCTGAAGACAAGAGGGTCATCAAGGCTGGTGGCAGCTGTACACCACTGCTGCTAACTGCTGGTACAACTGCAGTCTTCGCTGGAACATGAGTGGTTCCTTTCTGCAGAATAACATTAAGCCATAATTAGGCAAAATTACAATTACAAAAGATGGTAACTTTCTGAAGATTACTTGAGGTTCCTCTTGCAAGAGGCTTGCCTATTATCCTGGCTTGTGAATATTAATAAAACTTTGACAATTGCTTTGTCAGGTAATATTTAAGTATAAATAAAAAAGATTATTATTTGCGATGTCACAAAAGCCTACACTTAACTAATGTTAACAAATATTAATCAAGCAAGTACACAATTGAGTGCTCAGTCAGCAATAATCAATCAATCAGTCAGTCAGGCCAATCAATCAATCAATCAATCAGTCAATCAATCAATCAATCAATCATCAATCAATCAATCATTTAATCAATCAGTCTGTCAGTCAGTCAGTGTCAGTCAAGCAAGCAAGTGAGTAATTATTCAAACAGTCTATCTGTTCTAAAGTAAGTCCATCAGTTAGTCAATGTTTTCTATCTGCGTCAAGTGGGCAGCAGTATTTTGTACCTCATCATGTGGGATAACTCTGGGTTCTTCAGGACTTCCTTTCTGGTTCTCTGGGTCAGGTTCAGCTGGGCTGTCTGGAAGACTAAAACAGTAATTATACAAAACAACTGAAACAATAAGCAATGAAAATATCAACAAACAAAATACTACAATCGACTTCAATCAAATCTAAGACAAACAGATGACAAGTGGACTAAATAACTTTTGAAATGTGCAGTTCCAGAAAATATCCATACTACTCCCATGGAAGGGATTGAAATTTCCTGAGGGGTAAATGTATGAAGCTTAATTGGAATTTCCAAAGGGGCAGGGAGGGGGGGGGGTCTTAGAAAACTCGCTTCCACAGGGGAGGTATGGATATTTTCTGGAACTACACTATCTTAAAAATACCTGAAAAAAATGTAATAAGAATTTCTATTTAAACATGCATAATTAAATACACAACTTCTATTTACTCCTCATTATGGGGGTTTGCAGTGCTCAATGTACCATACATCCAGAAGAGAAGTCATATGTAACATTTTTTGCACCTTCAATACAAAACCATGGGATGCTACATTTGTGAAATGAAAAATGGTTACAACTTATAATAAGCAGAAAACCACCTAACCAGAACTTACCTTGACTTGGTTAGAAAGATGTCTGCAAGTATGCTCGCTTCTCTAGTTTTCTGTCAGAAGCAAATTATCAATCAATAACCACATACATGCATGTGATTAATGCAGGAATAGCCTCTAAGTCATTTTATTTTGCTGACCCTTTCCCTTTTCTCTTGCTTCTTTTTTCTTTTCCTTTTTGTTGGCTCTATTATTCTCACCACTTCCTACTCTTTAGATCCTTTCTACCAGCTGGAAAATGTTCAGTCTTAGTAATCACAGGTAAACCATGAAAATGAGACTTTAGTTAATACGTCAAATGTGACATAGACACCGATTCCCATTAATGCATTTTGTAGTGACAAACCTGAATTTGTCTCTGTGTGCTTTTTGCTCCTCTCTCTGCTTGATGTTCTACTGTTAAGGCTTTAGGTCTGTACCACTGAAAACAAAGTCACAATATTTGAGGCTTTCTCAACACGCAGGTGTTTTGAATGTATTTTTTAAACATAGACTGAACATACTGTGTTGGCTAATTTAATGGTGCATATTTTTCTGGTTGTCTGTCAAGACAGGTGGACATGAGAAGCCATTTCCTCCCTAATGTCAATTACTTGTAGTACATTTATGAAGTTCTGACTCTTATGTCAAGTCTTAGATTCCAATGATCTACAAATAACAGCCAGACTTAAATGATAACCAACCAAAATTTTCACCATCAATGATCATTAGCAGATTAATAAAGGGTTGGTATTATACAGCATACTTGTACATTTTTGTTTATTTCATGAAGTGACGGTAAAGCTTTGTGTTTCTTAATAAAACAATATTAAGCGAGTTTTACCAATGACCGGGCACCTAATTTTTTAGCGCTCTGGCCCATGGATTGAGTCGTCCAGATTTCAGCCCTGGCTGGGGCCAATGCATCTTGTTGTTGGGCGAGACACTTTACTCAATTCTACAAGTAGTACCTTCTCTGCCAATATGCATGAGTGGGTACTGGCAAACTTAATGCTGGGGGGCACCCCTGCAATGGACTAGCATCCCAACCAGGGGAGGTGGAGTAGAACTATTCAGACTACTCACTTCACACTGTATATGAACATAGAAACTGGGGTAAGCTTCAGTAGTATGGGCCACTTGGCCCAACACAAACTTAACCTACCTACCTTACATTAAAGACATCTCCATGATTTCTGAAATCATATTATTAATAATACTTGGTACAAAAGGTTAACCAACAAAAAAACATACCTTTATTCTCTCTGCCATAATGTCTTCACTCAACCGTTTGGCTTGCTCCACAAGCTGAAACAAAGAAAGTCATGTTCCTGCTAAAATATAATAAAGTAACTACGATGGGCAGAAAAAAAATTCACAAAAGTATTTTTTGCAAACAAGGTTGAAGGGGGTACCCACATACCTGTCTTTCTCGAACCATCTCATTATGTGCTGCATCCAGAAAGTTCACAGGATGCCTCACCAGCGCTGAAAAAAAAAAAAAACCACAAATCAATAAGTACAAGAGAACCCTTACACTGCTTCGCACAGCTATATTAAACAATGTTTGTACCCACTGCTACTTTCAAAGACAGTCAGTCGTCTTTTATATAGTCCCCTTCATTATATTATATAGAAATGTTTTGTACTCAAAAAAAAAAAAAAAAAAAAATTAGGAAGCCATCTTAAACCTATGAAAACATCAACTTCCAAGGACTATGACCCCCTGGCCTTGAACTTTGATGGCATGGATTTTTTAAGGATGAAGCTGGTTGATCAAAGAACATGTACCTTACAGTAGTTTGAACAAGCAAAATGTTGTTACAGTATGTCCTGTTCTGTGCAGCATTGCAACTTCCATTTTTGGTATAGGCTGCGTAGCTGGTGGGATATCGTATGCGGGTGCTTTTGTTTTGGCTGTGAAGCCACAAGGGTATTGGCGATGAGTCAAGTTGAATTCCCGCCTGCTGTAATTTGTGGGGTTTTTTAATTATGCACTTGCCGGTGCATGCAAATTTTCGTATTGGCTGAGAGCACTGAAATGTCAATCAAATGTTAATCAATACCTCACATCTCTCCCACGGGAAATGGTTTGTTTTCACACTCAGATTTGCAAAATGAAGAATGCAAAGAAAAGCATGCAGGAAGCTTTGGATTTTATAAATATCTGCAGAGAAAGCAGACAAATTATACTAAAGGAAGAACAGGAGAGAGCTGTGAAAGAGTTGACTTTGGGGAATGATGTCTTGGCAATACTGCCCATGGGTTTTGGCAAAAGCATGAGCTACATGATCTCCCCACTTAAGAGCCTTATTGAAGACCAAATTGTTGATGTGGAGTCACTAAGCTGCATGGCTTTGGAACTGAAAAGTCCAATCTGTCGTAAAAGATTTGACACAATTTGTTTTCTGCTCAGCAGAGAAGGTACTAGAAAAGCCTTTCCCAAATGGATTGAAGTCAAAAACTATTCTCCATGAAAGAGTATCGGCTATTGTGGTCGATGAATGTGACACCTGCGAATCATGGACTGTTAGGTGTAATGTTCTTTGAGTTATCAGAGATCTCCATGTACATCAAGGGTTTATTTCCATTGAGTTGCATGCATTTGCACCATTCCGCATGAAAATAAACCTCAAGTTTTAAATTACATTTAATTCTCTGATTGGCTTATTTAATTGGATCATCAAAGGTGATAAAAGTGGGCGTCAAGCAAAAAGCATAGGAAACGAGGCAGGCAGGAGTCTCACTCGCAGCTTCGCCTTTGCCGCCAGAGTTCACCTGCTCGCAAATCCCACCAGCTATACAGGCTATCTTTGGCATAGAAGTGAATATATGAAAGATCATTCATGATGTCATATCATGTCTTCATATCCCTTAAAGAGTCACACAAAGAAACATAAGAAGCAAACAGCAAATTCAGGGTTCATACTCTTTGAAGCTTTTATGATTCCATGATTTTCCGTGACCTTTTCCATGACCAAAGTTAAGCAGTTGTTCTCACAGCAGCATCAAAACAATCATTTATTTTTCCAGCATAATGATTATAAGGGATAAAATGTGTGCTTGTGTCTATTTCTACTGAAATTAAAGCCTGTTATTTTTTCAATTTTTAAAATATCTTTTTGCCAAGCATAATGCTTTTCCATGACTTTCCATGACCTTCTCTTAAATTCCATGACTTTCCAGACCTGGACATTGAAATAACAAATTCCATGACTTTCCAGGTTTTCCATGACCTGTATGAACCCTGAAATTTGAATGTTCAAGATGCTCCAAGAAAACAGCTTTGGAGAAGAGGTCAACCAGCCTGAATCTAACTAACAATGAGTGGAAATCAATTTCAGATGAGCAGTTCACTAGCCAAGCATAATCCGGTGGCACATTCAACAAATTGAGACCTACAATACTAGACAAGTACTAAATGCTTTTTTTTTTGTTTTGTTTTGTTTTCTTTTTTCTTTTTTTGGCAAGAATGCAACTCTCTCAAAAGTATTCAGATTCCACACTTCTACACAGTTTTATATTCTAAGACTGTGAGACCAAAGGTAGTTTTGGCAGAAGAAAGTTGTTAAACCTGTCGAGTGCTTTTTAATAAATTAATAATCAGCGCCAAGCTGAATGGACTGACCTCTTTCATCTTCATCCATCTCAAAGAAGTGGAATGTAGCAAGGTTTGCATCATCAGCAGGCCATTGAACCTTTTTGCCCTTCTTTGACTTCTTAGCTGGTTTTTCTTCTAATGAATTGTCATCTGCTGCAGAGGTTGTATCTGTTGAAGTCTGTGATGCTACACAGCAAGGCCAAAAGACATTCATGAAAAATCATTGAAGAGATCACTGAGAGACCTTTTCATGTGTGCTGTTTCCTACTGGCTGAGAAAAACTCATAATATATTCTATCCATCCATGGTGTGGTTACTTTCTTATTAGTTAAAGAGTTTGTCAAGAAATGTTGTTTTGATTCTTAATTCCTACAATTATCATTCTCACAATCTATGTTGGCCGAGTCTTAATTGAGAAAGTACAGCTCTCCTCGTGAATGTTAAGATGCAGTATATGCCTACCTGAGTTAGGAGAATTCTCTTTTTCAGATGGCTGCCAATGAAAAGTAAATCACATTAAATTACAAATGAAAAGCTATGTTTATTTAAAATGTAACTTTGTCAAGGACATCTGAAGAAGGGCATTTAAGAAGAAGGGCAATAGAATCAACATCCCAGTTTCCTTGACTGTCTGAAACTGGTTAAACAAAACCCTCAAATACGTGTAAATTAATAAATATTAATAAATGAAATAAACAGTTCTTATTAGCTGTATTAAATGCAGTCCATACAATCCATGAACACAGAAAGTGAGCAGTTGTCTACAGTATTTTACCTCAGAGCCTTTGGTGAAGTCTCCAATATCTCCACCTAAATAATCAAGAAACAATTTCACAGTGACTATTAAGAATTAAGTAAACCCTTCTGTGAGATCATTTGTGATGATGTGCTTCCCACGGAGAGCAAAAAGAAACCAATAAAACAGATGCTGAATTTGTGGGACACAAAATGAAATTAAAGTAGGTTTTCTTACTTGGAGCTAATGATGTATTGTCTGGTGATCCATTTGGAGATGAACCTGACTTGTTGCTGCAATAAATGAAACAGAAAAGCATTCAGAGAAAATTAATGACCAGGACCAGCATGATCTTCATTCCACCTCCCTGCTCCTCATAGACTTCTTTAATATTTGAAATGTGGTTGCTTATCTTTAAATAAACAAATATAAATTATTTTCTTTTAATGAACAAAAAGTAACTTTGTAAGACAGAGCTAAAAATAATGTTTATTACATTGCAGGTTTTTTCTGAACGAAATCAACATACGATTCCTTTATTTATTGATGCCAGTGTTTTACCGTTAAAATTTTCGTATTATGAGCTTTTAGCTAACCTTATGTTTGAAATAAGACACAGAAATGCTCCTGGAAACATTCTAGATCTCTTTCAAGACATTTCTGATATTCATTCTTACAATACTCAATTCTCTGTCTCAAATAACTTTTGCACACAAAGTTCTAGACTCTCAATTCAAGTGAATTCATTTTCTAGAATCAGAACAAAAATTTGGAATGAAATGCCTATATCTTTAAGAAAGCTTCCAAAAAATGAAGAAGCTAGTCATAAAAGGGGATAAGTGACGATTTTGGTTGCTTTTCTTTTTTCTTGCTCTAAATTAGCTGAATTTTTGCATGTGGTCTTCAATGTAATAGAAAAACGTGGTTCTGTATTTTTGTCGCTGGTTTTTGCTTTGTTTTTGAGTTAAAACGTAGGCAAAATACTCGGCTTTTCCTAGCTGTCTTTAGGAGTTTATTTGTTGAACAGCAAACAGGCAGACTGTTTATAGTGTATGAAGTCAAAACCGAATTCCACAGTATATAGAGCGGAAATCTGGGAACGGATTGTTTACACCGGTTATTGTGACGTGAACACAACACGTGAATCGATTGAGCATCAAACGAAATGCCATCAAACAAAAAAGAGATGTGCCGCATTAGAGCTCTGTCAACTAATATCTTAAGCATTGTTTTAAAGTACCTTGTATGCC